TTTTTTTTTTAAATAAAAGAAAAATAATGCCATCGAATATTTTTTGTTTAAAAATGTATATAGATGATGATAACACACGAAGATAAAATATTCGATAAGTTTAATTATTACAGTTAAATCCCGAAATGTCCGACACAATTTCTATCCCCAACGTAGAGGATTGCCGAAAGGACGTCGGTTTCCCAACATGCTGCCCAAATTGGACGTCCTGAAAAATCCTGAAAGGCGCGGGATGTCGCCTCCTCCTCGATTTAAACCAAATGGTGTGTTTTGAGTAAAAATGCTGAGGACTCTTTTGGCCATCTTGTTCCGAAACGATCGATAAGGTATATCGGTGACGTCATCATCCATCAAATGGCTCCATTCTTCTATAGAGCCGCTGGAAGAATAAATGAGAAAACAGAGAACAGCCAAAGACAAGTACATAGCTGAAACTGAAAGAAAATTTGATTTATTTAATATNAGATTTTTACGAGTTAATCTGAGTAAAAGTTATGACATGGACCGAAGCCAAGTATCAATTTTTGCAGAGAAAATTATTGTGTGCCAGTGGGAATATGGACTTCGTGACGTCAATATTTACGTATTTCCTTATTGCGTTGCATATGTTGAAAATAGCTGTCTTTCTTGGTTGATGTAATGTTACGCCGCTAATCTAATGTTTGTAGTTTTTATCTTTCAATGCTACAAAGATGAGAACGGCTGTGAAAAGGGGAATTCACATTGTAACCGATTCATCATCTTTATGATGTTCGTGTACAGTAATAATATTTTTATAGATAAGAATTTTGCTGTTATGTTGATATTAATTACTAATTATTATTATTTATTATAAAAGTTAAATTAATGTTAGACCTACCATACATATAAAAAAGTGGTCTATAAACATTAAATTCAGGTTATTCGATGTATTAGGATCGAAGCACTAAAAGTTATTAAATCGATGAGATCAGGATAAGCGTTATGTCATCGCAGAAACATCTGCTTGGAGTTTCGATTGAGGCAAAGTTTGTAAATTCTCTTCATAGTTTAACACATTGGTGCATAGAAAATTAAAACGACAACAACAGATGAGTGTAAATACGAGCCAATGGAACTACAACTGTCAATCCTTATTAAGACTCAATAAATATTGCATCCTACCATGCAAGAAGGACAACAATTCAGACCCGATTATCATCCTCTTAGCGTGAAATCGAGTCATATTATCGAATGGCAGCTTTTGAGGTTGCCTTAATAGATTGCGGTCCACTTCCTTTTGTTTGTAGGCGTGTTGATGTCGTTTCGATAATCACTCTTCCGATATTTTAATGGCACGCAAAATGTCCTCTTCCGTTTTCATGGATGAGAACCATTCTTACGATCTTTAATAATTAATTTATTTTTTCCCAAGTTTTTTTTATTATTTAATTATCGTTTATTTAATATTAATAAATATCTTTACGCAAAATTTCAAATCGTAAATTTTATAAGAGTTAATTTCAGTAGAGCTATGAAGAGTTTCTTCATTTTCAATGCCTAAAAAAGTTTCTTCTAAGCTATTTCATAATTATGCTTACACATAAAATTACAACGAATGAATTCATATTTTTTGTTAATTAAAATATCTTATTAAATATATGTAATTATAAAAAAATCCGATTTAAATTTATAGTTGATTAAATAAAGTTTTATCCTTGAAAACATGTCATCGAATATACTTATGTTACACGAGTTTTATTTAAACATTAAAATTTTGGCAAATGTTCTAAGCAGTTGGATTACAGAAAATGCATTTTAAAATGAATTTAAAATTTTTACTGTAATATAAAAGTTCTTCATAACTACTCTAATTTATATTAAAATTGAAAATATCTTGACACTTAATACTCCTTCATAGATAAATTTTATAAGAAATAATAAATTTAAAAAGCAAATTATATTTAAATAGAACTATTTATTTATTAACTTAAAGACTGTATAACTTATTAAAATTATTAGAAATACAATTTACATATATTTATAATTTATTTACACAAAAATATTCGTTACTTGTCTTTTATATTTTATTATTCAATGTAGAAAGAGTTATGTTAATAAACCTCTATCAGATGCTAACTCAAATTGAAGCCAATATATATTTTAAAATTTAATGTACGTTTTTGAAGTTTAAATTTATATTTTTACTTTTTAAAATGTTACTTTAATAACCATAAAGATCATTTATAGCTTTTCAAGAATAAACACGCTAAAATACTTCTAAATCAGTTTATTGTATTTATTTATTTGGAAACGTTTTGTCGAATTTAAGCATGATCTATACAAATATTTATCCATTATTTTTGAATAAATGAAACTTTTTACGTTCGACAGAGTGGTTTACAAACATAATTGAAGTGCTTGCCACAATCTATTCGACAGATTTTTCCTTAAATTTACTAAAAAAACGTTGAAATTCAACCTTAAAATGTTAGACAAAACAACAGAATATACTAAGCTATACTATGCTACAAATTACAATAATGAAAATAAATTATATATATACGAATATATACAATATACAAGCTTAAATATACCTGTACGCAATGTTTAAAAATACAAAATTAAAATCATATTTTAACACAAGTCCTTATCTGAATAAAATAATTTTGTTCCTTATAGACTAAAATTATAAACTCCTTTAAAAAATTATATATATTTTGCAACATTTAATCAACTTTTTTTTTGTCTTAAGATTTAATTTGAATTCCTGTAGCGACGAGATGACGGAAGTCAAAAAATTGAATAAAATTTTCACTATCGGGGATCAAGAAAGTATTTATATTAAATGTAATTCTCGGTTAAGTTAATTAATTGAAAAGACCCCTTGGTGACCGGTTGGTAAATTTATTTTTCTTGTATAAAGAAGGAAGAAACTTTAATGAAGAGAGAGATTTAACTTGTAATGAACTATCGGACATTTTGACAGATCGCTTAAAATAAACTTGAAAAGAATGCTATTGGTTGCTGCTAATTTCACTAGTTAAGAACAAGCGAAAAATATAAATATTATATTATTACAGAGGCGTTTTGGGTAGAGATTTTTCTCCAAAAAAAAAAAAAGCCCATCAGATTTACAATCTAAATGGAATTTTTATCACTTTACATCAGCTAATATCGAAGAGCGAATAATTCAGCGGCTAATAAAAAAAATTCGCAAACATTTATTTATATTTTGTACTTCGCAAATAAGTTAACGTTTAATACTTTAGTTCGAAAGATGGTGAATAATTAATGGACTTTTTCTAATGCGTTAAATTGTAGAAAAATAAATTGAAATGTGAATTGAAAATGAACAAATCTTACCTTTATGCATTAAACAAAGCAGAAGTACTTTGACGTCTGACTAGAAGTGGAGATATTATTATGATACTTTATCTTTGTATAGTACTCTTGGTTTGGCATTAATGACGTCAGCGATCGCAACTGACCAATAGAATACCTATCTTTAGTGTTATAAATGCACAAGAGATGGAGCCACTGTTTCACCCTTTTCGAATGATTAATTATGTTCAATCAAGGTATAATAATGTTAAGAAATGATAATATTGAACAAGTTTATGTGAAAACGCGTCACGCTTTATTAAACCGAACAATTCGAAGATATTATAAAAGTTAAACTTGTTTTTTTATATTTTAATTAAATTAAAATCTATGTTAATCGCTTACAAAAATAAATAAATAAATAATAAAAGAAAGAAAATAAATTTTAAATTTTTTACTAATTTTCTGTATTTATTTTGCAATCTAAGAGTTATTTAAATGTACAGAAGGAAATTTGAACAATTTTAATACAACGTTTACAAACTATTACACGATAATAACATTAAGATGTTTGCAAATATTTGAATTAAAACTAATCAAAACACGCGATAACTTTTAACCAGATTTTTACGAGTTAATCTGAGTAAAAGTTATGACATGGACCGAAGCCAAGTATCAATTTTTGCAGAGAAAATTATTGTGTGCCAGTGGGAATATGGACTTCGTGACGTCAATATTTACGTATTTCCTTATTGCGTTGCATATGTTGAAAATAGCTGTCTTTCTTGGTTGATGTAATGTTACGCCGCTAATCTAATGTTTGTAGTTTTTATCTTTCAATGCTACAAAGATGAGAACGGCTGTGAAAAGGGGAATTCACATTGTAACCGATTCATCATCTTTATGATGTTCGTGTACAGTAATAATATTTTTATAGATAAGAATTTTGCTGTTATGTTGATATTAATTACTAATTATTATTATTTATTATAAAAGTTAAATTAATGTTAGACCTACCATACCTTTTGCCTTATAAATTGTGAATTGGATAATGTATTTTACACAACGTTATATAAATAATACAACAAAGGAAAATTAATTAAAAGGTAAGTTAATTTTTTATCATTTTTCTTATATAACTTTAATATAAATATTTATACTCGTATGTTGATCAATAAATATTTAAAAAATAGTAAAATGTAATTAATATATATTAATTTATCACATTTATTTTTATTAGTTTATCTTCTATATTTAATTTAATAATTTTTTCTTTATATTACCTTTTAAGTGTTAAATATTAAATGCATATAGATTAAGTGTACATAAATTATTTAAGTTAATAACTTTAATTTTATTATATATTTTGTTAGAAAAAAATACACACAACCTTGCAAATATTATATTCAAAAGGTTAAGAGTTGTAACTAAAATGTATAAATATACTTATAAAAATTTAAAGCTTTTCTTAATATTTCATCAGAAATAATAATAATAAAATACTTAAATTTCATTTACTAAAATATATGATAGCAGTTGTCACGAACATCGTCGATGTCGTAATTTGTCAAGTTTAATATCAAATATATAATTTTCTAACGAAAAAAAAAAAAACATTTCTCTATATTTAGAATATTTTAACTAAAATATTTTAAAAAATATTTTTACCAAAATAATAGAGTTAGTCTCTAGTCCCTCTCATTTATGAGGGGAACTAGAGACTATTGTAACTATGAGGGGGACCTCAAAACGTTCGTTAAAATTATTCAGTCTATGAATTATTTACATTACATTACTGATTACATTTAACAATTTTTTTTTATTGATTTAAGACTTAAAATCTATACTCATGTTAGTAATTAAAGCAAAATAGAATTTTAGTTTAAATAAATTTATTAATATTATTATATTGATTCCAATATTTTAGAATTATTTTACTTTATATATATATATATAATTTTCTTTTTTCTTTCTTTAAATTATTTCCGAAGAAATTAAATTTCTTGGAAAGATCTATATTTAACTTAATCTACTGGCATATAATATTCTACAGACATTTTCATATAGATAATTGAAAAAAGATTTTATATATTTTTATCTATTTTTATATGACTTCAACAACATAAATTGATTACTAATTAACCAATTTACAGAATAATAATTGAACAATAATTAATTTAATCAGAGAGTAATTAAATAATTTAAAACAATTATTAAACAATGATTATATTTAATGATTGCATTTAATATCACAAAGTTTTTAATTACGTAAATTCATTTTTGGCTCGTGTTCGTTGCAATTTTAATTATTTTTTAAAAAATGTTTTAAAATGTATCAAAAATTAATTACTATACTGTATATAACTGGGGGCCTAGATATTATTTATTAACTTTTTTAAACTTAATTTTAAAGATTATTTAAGTTATGCTCATTCAAATTATATTTATTTGAATAGTATTCTGCTTCCAGTTTTCTATTGTAAACGAATATACCAATTTTTAGTGTACTAAATAAAAGTAATTGATTCAATACATTAACTTTAGATTAGAACAATTTTACAGGCTTATTTCTATTTCTAATATTGCGTAAACTGCCCTATATAAAATATTTAAAATTCTTTTTATGTCCTTTCAATTCAATTACTAGAACAGCACTCGTTCTATAAAAAGAGAACAAGATGAAGTAGGTTTATGTTCTTTTAAAAGATTTATATTCATTGATTTTTAACTTTTAAAGAAGTTATATGTGAACCTTTCGCAACTAAATTTCTTTAATCACTGTTATCATTGTAGATTTAAAGGTTTAAAACACTCTTTTCATTGATAGAATATTTTAAATAAAATTCAAATTATACAATAATTTGAATTATAGTTTTATAACCAAAATAAAATGTAAAAATGAATAATTATACTTGAATTCAAATCGATAAAAAAATTAATTAAAAATGACTTAACTCTTAAACATATACTGGTTTAACTCTGTTATAAAATGAAACATATACTAGGTGGCCCGTAAGTTAGTTAACCAATATATAGATTATTTTAAAAACAATTAAAATCGCTTTGAAATAGTTGGCTCATTCATGAAGCTAGTTTCCAATGGAACAATTGAATTATAGATGTTAACATGCAGCTGTTCGAAACCGATTTTATCCGTTCTTAAATATATCTCGGTTAACTGACTTTTGGGGTTATGTTTTATAGTAAAAATTCAGTTTTTATAACTTAGACAAAAATGTTTTATAATTTAAAAAATGTTTATTAATTATATAAATTTATTTTTCTGTTATTGTTTACTTAAAAAATGAACAATATTAATTAATTTTTAGCATTATTAAAATATAAAAATTATTTTTATAATAGAATATTGATTACATTTAATGATAATTTAAGAAATCTTTAATTATAATTAAGATCATTTCAATTTGTATTAAAAAAATAAAAAGTGTAAAGAAAACTGCAGTAATATATCACTCTCAATCTGTACATTTGTTTTTTTTTCTTAATGAAAGATTAGGAGTATTCGTCCCTTCGGAGTTTATTTATAGAATTCGGGACAAAATAGCTTTATTTTAAGGTTTCGACTGTCTTTATTGTATCGAAATTCTCTGTTCCTTCAAATAAAACAATGATAATACTGATAACAGAAAAATAATGGTTATTTATATTTAGAAAATACAATTTATCTATCAATTTTATTTAAAATAATACATAAGTAAATTTTATTATTTTTTTCAGATTAAAATATCTTTTAAGAAAAAATTTAATTAGAAAAATTGTGTCTACTTGTTTTCATTCGATCAATAGATTAAACAAGACGTTTAGTACGATAATTTTAAGTTTAGGAAAAAAAATGATTAGAATTATTAATGTTAAATTATACGAGTAGTAATTACCCATTTACGTCACGGAAGTATAAAGAAAAAGTAGTAAAATTATGCTGTTTAAAATATAATATGGCAATTAAGAAATAGTGTTAGAAATTTTTTATTCACAATATATAAAATTTTAGTACTTCATAGTAAGGTTTCTCGAACGGGATTCCGGTTGTTTTTTTAATCCGGGAAATTCTCCTCATCCCGGGGAATCCCGCAAATTTCTTAAAAGTTCACTTTTTTTTTCTTATTTTGTATTAAGATTATGGAAATTTTGCAAATAGAAAGTATAATTAACTCATAAACGGTCAGAATACATTTGTATTTATTCATTTTAAACCTACTTATTAATTTTTTAAATTTTTGCTCGTTATGGCATGTCACAAATGGTCAATAATCAATATGTAGACTATTTGTGGCAGGACTCTGAAAATTCTTTACTTGTCAGAACCTGTAATATCTGGAATAATTGTGCTTATGCTATCTTAATTTTTAACCATGCCCAGTAGCTTCAATAACTGTGTAACGCCAGGTTGTGCAAATTGGGCAAGGATACAAACGAGTATGAAGTTTTTCTTCACAAACCTGATTATTAAAGACAAACGAACTGCTAAATTATTGGGCTATAAGCTTGATGTTTCTATTAAAGAAGCCGAGATAGACAAATCAAAATTACTAGAGAGCAAAATAAGTACAGTCGACCCCCTATAACACGGTAGATACGTTCCGGTTTTTATGAATCCATTTTCTACGACTCCAGCCAATCACAGCTCGGCACGTATGCAGTTTACGGACTACGGCTGTTTGAAAGGTTTCTTCCATAAAATTAATCGATTCTAGACTAATTCGACTCAACATTTCCAAAATACGTATAATTTTTTGGGAATAATCCATATAAACTATGCTATAAACAAAAAATTGTAGGATTACTTACCGAGCGTGCACCGTTCGACTACGCCATTGCTTAAGCTTGTTTTCGTCGTGGAGCTTGTCATCGAATGGCGCTCACGTGTTTCCTGATAAATTTTTTTTTTTTGCGAAAAATTCGCTGAACTTTGGAGACATCATTAATATAAATATAATTTTTATGGACGTTAAATAATAAATGGTTTTTAGTAGGTCCGCTGCTCGTTTAAACTCAACGGTTTGTACAATATCCGCTATTGGTCTAGATTCGACCAATCCTGTTGCGACACAAGTCGGTGAGGACGTTTAACCGAATTATACGAGTTTTTTTAGCATGTTTGTACGAATACTATCGCAATTTTTTCGCCGTGATA